AAATTCTAAATGCTTAAATGCCTGGAAACTGTGATATTCTTGACATACTGTACACGCATCTCTAAGTAGCCCAGCTCACTCAATTCATGATTAATTGCAACAAACTTGTTGAATTTGGACAGAGCTGTGTGCTAAGCTCAGTAAGTACTAGCTAGCACTAGCTAGCTCTTGGTATTATCCCTAATTAGTACTCTGCATTTCCTTTGTTGCACTTGACCCTCAGAGATCAGGAAATATAAAGATAACAATAAGGACCCAGTATTGAATGTTACAGCACATGCTACCGTACTTCGAGGTCCCTCGTTCTCAAATCATATTACTTGTTACATCCTTCCATTAGCTGTTTTTTTTAATGGATCAACACAGAAAGCAACAGAGGAAAATAACATTTGCTTCCATCATTTTCATTTCCTTTTTAATTTGGTTTAACTTATTTATTAGTGGTACCCAGGTATTTTAAAGAGCCTGCCACTAGGTGGCTGTCTGAGCCTTCTTGAGCTCCTTTGGACGGTGAGAACAAAGCAAGATGCAAGAATTGGACTTCTGGGGGAAAAAAAGTAATCAACCAATTTCCAGAAAATTCTATGATGTAATGTAAGCATACTTAAATACATAAAAATATGACATTTTCCATTCTCTAATGATTACATTTAGGGTATCTCTGAAAGGCAAGTTACAATAACATGCCCCTCTAATACACACACCCAAAAAATATTGTAACGCATACGGCCACCATTGGTTGTGAGAGCTGGCTTACCAGCACGGTGACATCACCCCCCTTCCCTGTGAATAGCAGGGACTGCAGCCACCGGGCTGAAGGGAGATTTCCTGTTGAGTGGTGCCAGAGGCCTGAGTTTGAGTCCCCAATGGTGGGGGGCCGACCTGAGGTGGCAGAGGTGAGGGTGCATACCCATGTGAACCCTGGAGTGCTACAATATTTTTTCTTCAATATTTCCTTTAGTTTTGTTCTTATTGATAGAAATTTCTCTGAAATTTTCATTAAGGGTATTGTTACCTCATATTGTGGTAATAATGTTGCATTAACTATTAGATTAATTACGGCACTATTATATTAACTAGAATGACTTAAAACCAACTAGAATGATTTTAAGATAGTCTTAACCTTCACCCCTAAATTAAACTGTAAAAAATTATCGAAATTCTTGTAGTGTAGACTTTGAATAAATAATTGATGAATACTGATGAATATACATGAATACTATATCATAGCTCCCGAATCTATATAAGATTTCTAAGACTTACACCATATTGCACAAACATAGGATTACAAACATATAAAAATATGTATTAAAATTGTTTGAGAAGCATATGGGGTTTCATCTACATGGGTGTTTGAGAGCAAATTTAAGGTGGTGCATGGAAGACATACTTGTTCACTTCCATGCAAATACTAACAGCAAATACGGTATTTTCTACTTAAGATACAAGTGGTTTCAATCAGAATAGTGAACTTTATACCTTTTCAAAGTAAATCCTTATCTGTTTTTCTGTTTGAGAATCTGTTAATACTGTACAAACTTCTAACTTTAGCTGAGCTGGCTTTTATGAGTCTGTTGTGCTCAGCTCAGGGTGATTTGTGCCTCTGTAGTAGCTGAAAAGAAAACTATGCAGCCTGCAGCTTCCAGTATTTGACCAAGCAGGAGATTAATAATCCAATGAGGAAGTAGCTCCTCCCTTCACCTTGTGCTGTTATTTCTTTCTGGAAATGAGAAAGATGGCTGTTACACAGACCCAGGGAAAGAGTCCTTTAATTCTGTTCCTAGCCCTTCTTGGTTTTTGCACTTTTGGTTCAGCCAGGTCTGGAAAACTTCTGGTAGTACCAGTAGATGGTAGTCGTTGGAACGGAATCAAGGCTGTTGCTGAGGAACTGAGCCAGAAAGGCCACATGGTGACCGTGGTGATTCCAGAGGTAAGCATGCAGATGGGGCCAAGCAATTTCTACACCACCAAGACGTATCCAGTACCCTACACAAAAGAGTATTTGAAGAGCCTCCAGGATGCTCAGGGTAAAAATATTTTTAGCCAGAAGCCCTTTCTGGAAAAAATTACCTCAGGACTGGATAGGATCCAGAATATGTCACATTTTTTCAGGCTGACCTGCGAAAGCCTACTGTACAACAAAGAACTGATGAACTTCCTGAGAGAGCAAGAGTTTGATGCTATTTTGACAGATCCTGTATTACCCATTGGAGTCATCGTGGCTGAATATCTCTCTCTTCCATCAGTCTACCTGCTGCGGGGGATTCCCTGTGGCTTGGACTTCAAGGCCACCATGTGTCCCAGCCCACCTTCTTATGTTCCCCGTTTTTTCACCACAAATACGGACCAGATGACTTTTCCCCAGCGAGTGCTGAACGTTTTCGTCAGTGTCGTGGAACCTGTGTTCTGTAAACTTTTGTATTTTTTGTATGACGACATCGCATCGGCGTTTCTTCAGAGGGGTGTCACAGTAGCAGAAATGATGAGCCGTGCCTCTGTGTGGCTCATGAGGTTCGACTTCACTTTGGAACATCCTAGGCCACTGATGCCCAATATGGTTCTAATAGGAGGAATCAACTGTGCTGTGAAGAAATTGCTTCCACTGGTATGCCCTGTTCAGTTTTTTATTTCATTACAATAAACAGATATAGAACAAGTTTAATTACTTTCTTAAATCTTAAAGGGGAACTGCAGTCCCAATTTTTCAGACCGGTTCTTAAATCTCGGTAGCAAAATAAGTTAATTGACTAGAGGGGAAAAAAATGGCAGATTTTGAATTAAGCTCAAAATCATGAACTTTGTGAAAGTACTGTCACCATGTTGTTGCAAACTACATGAATTGTGATGTGATGCTGCCCTTCCTGCTCATTAGTCACTGTAATGACTAATGTAATGTGATGTATGAGCAAATAAGTACAGGTTGTGCAGAAGACATTTCACAGCAGAAATGTTCCAGTGTGATCTGCATGCAGAGTTAACACGCAAGGTGTATTTGTTGGCAAAACCGTCTGGAAATTGAAAGCATTTCTATTGTATTAAAAGACATGTATTCACAAGTCTGCTTCTTTACTATGTCATAGGGGCACATATAGGGTCACCGGAAGTTTGTTGCCTTGTTCTGAATCGCAGACCGTGGTGTGGCATATACAGTACCTGGAATTTTAATCTTTTAACCTTGGAGGTTTTCCAAGTTACTATGTCCATTTCACTCTTAATGTGGTTTGAAATGCCTTCATCAGTGCTGATTCCTTCTAAGGAATAAATATATAATATAAAAATATGAAAATAGCATCGCAGTTCCCCTTTAAGCTTTCATTGGCTGTTGATTCAATGGAAACAGTAATATTTCACGTGTCTGTGAAAAAACATAAAAACAAATTGAGAGGAGGTTATTTGACCCGTCTAACCCATGTGGTAGTTCAAAAGGAATAACAGCATCCAAAATCAGATGCTTTGTGAGTGTTTATTGAGTATTTACTGTATACAGTACGTGCCTTGTTAAGGGGCAGCTTCATGGCCATAGTACAAGGAGGGTCAGAGCCCCATTCAGAGAGAGAAAGTAAGGAAGGGGTAGCTGCAAAGATGGAGATGGGGGTGGAGGTGGGACGAATGCAATGAAACTGAGAAGAGACGATATAAATAAAGCAAAAGCCAGCAATGACTGTGATTTAAAACATTTCGTCTGTCGTTAAGCCTCCTGATCATTAGTTAAAAAATTCTATTTAATGCTTGATTGAAGATTTGTTTTCTATCCGTTTCTTAAAAGAAGCCGGGGTTTCAACTTCAACACGGCTAGTTCCAAAGTCTTGCAACCTTTTGTGCAAAAAAGTGTCTCTTGCTCTCAAATTTAATTTCACTTCCACATAGTTTGTCTTAATTATAAACTTCATCTGCAAAGTATCGTATATTCATCGCTGATATTTGCTCCCACAGAGCAAAACCAAAAAATCAGGAAACGTGTAAATCTGAATTTCCAGCCTCTCTGTTTTATACACAGTTTTATGTGGACATTTTCCATTCCAAATCATCAATTACTTAATTTCTGAGAAATAACAGGCTGAATTTGTAATGAAGACTGTTAAGGAACAAATACATGTAAATTCCACACTGAAGAGTAAAAAGAAGAAACATAATGTTTGGGCTGTTGAAACCTTCTTCAGGACTGAGGAAGCTAGTAAGGATATAAAGCATAAGAGAAAGAGGGAAAAGGATAGAGCTCATGAGAATGAGCACAGAGCAGATGAGAAAAACAACATTTTATCACACGAAAGTATCAGGCAGTAAAAACTAAGAAAATCCTAAAAAGAAGGGGATTTTCTAGAAATTTCAAAGATTTATAATACAAACAATGCTGTGTAAAATACTGAGCAATAACTCCCAAAATTACATTTCACGTTCAATGTCGAGCTCATCAAAATATATGTGAATATTTGGGCATCCTTTTTCATTTTGAGAGCAGGGTGGTGTTTTTTTTTGCAGATTATTTTGTACATTCTTAGCCAAATAAACAGTGGCTTTTAAAAGCATTCAGACCCTTCCTGTTACCCTGCAGGCAGTGCTGTGTGATAGGCTGACAGGCCAGAATGTCCGGGAGATTCCGGAGAGCCGAGGAGGCAGCCAGGCCCAGGTGACTTAGTGTTGAGAGATGAGCAGGCAGGCAGGATATCAGGGTTTGATATTTGGCCATCGGTGGTGGAGAGAAGTCCCCATTAACTGTAAAGCACTCAGAAAAGCACTATATAATGCAAGTGTAATGAATTCAGATTATTAAGTTAATAATAATAATGTTATTATTATTAAGATGCAGATTGATGGGATGAATGGCTGCCTGATTGAAACGCAAGGCTGGCTGCAGACCTCTTGTGGCACGAGGAAGCCTAAAAGAAACAATTCCTAAATGTCCCATTTAGTGAAATTACAAAACGATGCATAGACTGTACATCTTTTTAAACTCAAGCATTTCTTTAAAACCCGGATGCTCAAAATGGCAAAAAACTAAAGAGAAAGAATTGAAATGTGTTGTTTGCATACGTTTTCAACCCTCTGAACTCAATGTTTGGTGGAAGCACATTTAGAGGCAAGTCTTTTTGGGTAAATCTCTACCAACTTGCCACACTGGCTTCACACAATCTTTGCCTAATCTTCTTGGTAGATTTACTCAAGCTTCCTTAAGCTACTTATGCACAGCAGTTTTCAAGTCTTTCCATGAATTCTTAAAAGGATCTTTGACTCTCTTTCTTTCTCTTAAGTCCCTCTTATTCTTATTCTTAAGTAGTTCTGGCCTTGTGCTTTGGATCATTGTAAAGGTAAATTTCTGTCACTTTTGTCACATGTTGGCAGTATCACTTTAGTGCTTTCTTGCAAACCCTATGTGGGATGTGAGTGTAAATCTTTCAGTGCCAGTTCATGCCTCCTTTGCATATTGCCTGGAAATATTGCTGACCTCTGGACATGTTTCCCTATATCAACCACTGAAAATCTTTTCAAACTCACCGTTAGCCTCATGGTGGCTACCCTAACCAGTTTCCTCTTCACTGCTTTAATTTACAGCTGCACAGTATGAATGGACAACCAGACCTTGTCAGTGTCTGGATGCCTTCCAATTCCTAATGACCATGACAGCACCATGACGGTACCATGCTGAAAGAGATTTTTCAAATGCTTTCATACACTTCTTCTGATCTGTGCTTTTAAAAATCTTATCCCTGAGTTGCTTTGAAAGCTCTTTGTTCTTGGGTGAATCTTTGCTTGTAACTCACAATTTATAGAGACAGGAGTATCTATTCTGAAATCATGGGAGCCACTATTATTGCAACAGGACTTAAAGCTCTCTGCCAGTCCTTTCTTCTAAACCCAAACTGTCAACACAATTTTTAATTATGCTTTCTAAAAACAGTTTTACATTTCAAGAAAGGATTAGGAGGCAGTAAAGAAATGAAAACTGTAAGGGCTTTACTAAACTTTACATTTACTTTAATGATTCAGTAAATGTCTCTGGTGAGACTGAAAGAGTTTCTGTAGCTGCTGATTTATTGAAATGGCGTACAAAGGGAACTGTAAGAAAGGTTCCTTCTTACCAAAGTCTTTTGATAAAGCTGTATGTGAAACATGTGATCCTTCACCTAGTCCCAGCAATGACACATATCCCCTTTACTCTGTTAAGATGGAGTGTTTGGGGCTTGTAAACTGAAGGGATTAAGAATTAACTACCTTATCTATGAATTCAATGGGGAAGAGGTAATGTAGTGGGTTACCCAATTGTATGCACTTCACCTACTATACTGTAGCTTCTCTCTCACTCAAGACACCATAGAGTGTAAATGTAGTGTTGCTTTGGCCTATGGCATGGGACATACATACAGTAAAACCGAAAAATAATGAATAGATGAAGCATTTCTTTAATGGCCATATTCAGAGCAATACTGCTGGAGGAATTTCTCCAAGAAAAATATATTAATCTGTTCTCCCCGTGAAGAGTCTTTGAAAACGTCAAAACAGATATGAATTGACACATTTGCAGTAAATAGCAGAATGCTAGGACATATTTTTACATTAATTACCATGCCTGTGAAATAAACATAGACCCATTGATTCCCCCTTTAGGTAATGCAATTCAAAGTATTTTTATTTCACACAGTTTACCTTTAAGTGAAGTGGCAAAGACCAGAAATCTACAAGGAAAAAATGAAGACTGAGCTGTGCAAATAGTGAAATGTGTGTAGGGGTATTAAAACCTTACTATGATTCTCAAATACAAAGAATGTTCGCATCCATCTGCTGCTTCTCCTATGCCAGCCTTTCACAAGTACTTAGCTAAGTTAGTACTCAACAGGGCTGCCGTATTTTGAAAGGGAATGACTGAAGTAGGACAGCATGGTGACACAGTGGCTAGCATCGCCGCCTTGCAGAGCTGGGGTCCGGAGTTCAATTCTGACCCTCGGGGGCTATCTGTTTGCAGTGTGTGTGTTCTCCCCGTGTTTGTGTGGGTTTCCTGCAGGTCTCCAGATCAGTCCAAAGACATGCTGGTAGGCTAATTGGCTGTTGGAAGAATTGGCTCTGGTGTGAGTGTGAGTCTGTGTCTATGTGTGCCAAGCAATGGACTGGTGTCCTATTTATGGTGTACCCTGACTTGTGCCCATTGCTTGCAGAGATATGCTCTGGCTCCCAAATGACACTGTATTGGGTGAAGTGGTTATAAAATGGATAACTGAAGTATGAACTGAACATAAAAGACACTTTCAATCTCAAAAAACGCAAGTAGACAAACTGCCCCAGTAATTCCACATCCATTTTCCCATCTGGGCTTTTCCCCTCAAAGCCAAAATGGGGTGTTTTTCCTACCAGCAATGCTGCCAAACTACTGTATCAGGGATGTCCAGCGTTGTTCGCAATCGTCTGGATTGTGTATTAATGCTTTATTCTGTACACTGTCACCTCATTATGACCTCACCTGGTTTGAATCAAGCTGATCCTTCACCAAGCAATGAGAAAGATAATAATTGCTTACACTTATATAGCGCTTTTCTGGACACTCCACTCAAAGCACTTTACAGGGAAATGGGGACTCCCCTCCACCACCACCAATGTGCAGCATCAACCTGGATGATGCAAGGGCAGCTATTGTGCGCCAGTAAGCTCACCACACATCAGCTATCAGTGGGGACGAGAGCAGAGTAATAAAGCTTTCTATAGATGGGGGTTATTAGGAGGCCATGATAGGTAAGGGCCAATGGGAAGTTTGGCCAGGACGTCAGGGTTACACCCCTACTCTCTTTGAGAAATGGGTTGCCAGTGGGTTGCCAGTTGTGAGTTGCAGAGTGATATGGCTGCTGGCCATATACCCTTATATAAAGATAACTTTTCCCCTGCTTAGGAAACCAATGCAAACCTGCACGAAGGTTTATGAATTAACTGCTTTATCTCTGAGCTGAGTAGGGGAAGAGGTGATGCAGTTGGTTGTGTGGTTGTGTTGTTCACCCAGAGTTGCATTCAGTAAGTGGAACACCCAGGCATGGCAAATTTTAATGACTAATTGCTTTCAAAACAGTGATAAATGATCATGCTAAAGTTTTTATCTGATGCCAGTAGCAGCAAACACTATACATACAATAGCCTATAGCCTAATAGCCTAACATAGGTTGTATTGTTTGCAAAAATGGAATTGGATAAAGCAGACTTTCCTATCTCTTCTTCCAGATATGTCCAGTGAGGTATTGCTCAGGCTATTGGCTGTTGTTAGGAAGTGCTGAAGCATGTATCAGCAATCTAGAGAAGTGCCTGTAAATAAATAAAATAATATTTTATTGTTAGTGTTACAGTTTTTCTCTCCCTGCAGTTTTTTTTCCAAAGGCAAAACAGACCGGACTCAACTCACATGCATTTAAAATAAGCTTTTTATCCAATTCGAATTAGAATCAAAATCAAATAGTGAGCCGTTGGGACATTTTACAGCACCCTCTTTTTCTATGACGCCTTCACAATAAAAGTTGAAAATCAAAGTATTTGATTTCCCGTTTTAAATCGATACATAAATCCCATTTTAAATCAATAGGAAAATTAAAGCAAGGTCTGCATGCCTAACCTGGGTTTACAAATTAACTACCTTATCTGTAAACTCAGTGAAAGACAGATAACAAGGTAGCACACACTCCTTGTTCTGTGTCACAGGTACAGATTTAGTAGATGTTTATTTTTCTAAGAACAGCTCTCGCACAGGGACTGGTTTCTGAGCATTGGACTTTTAGCCTGCCTGTGCTTCCACACTGCTGATTCAGTGGAAGATGAGAAGCTTCTGGTAGTCCCAGCCGGTGGTAGTCAATCGCTGGACATGAGACTTGTGATGGAGGAATCAGGGCAAAGAAGACACACAGTGGTGGTTATTCCAGAGGTCAGTCTAACAACGGGGCCTTCTAGTCACTGTACAACCAAAGCTTTCAATGGGCGCCGTACATCCATGAATATGTGAAAGAAATACAGAAGAAACACACGAATTACATATTCCTTGGATACACTCAATTTACTCTAAAAGGTTAGCGACATTTTAACAGCTTTAAATGCAATCCAAAACATTACAAAATGACTCGTGAAAGTCTGCTGTATAGTCAGGAACTAATGCAGGATCTGAAAGAGGAGGATTTTGATGCCATTTTGACAGGCCCGTTATCCCCCCTTGGAGTCCTGGTGGCAGTTTTCCTTCCCTTCCATCTACATGTTGCGTGGAATGAGATCTGGCTTAGATTTTGAAGCTACCCAGTGTCCATGTCCTCCATCTTATGTCTCCTGGCAGGGAAGATGTTAACTATAACAAACTGTTTTAATAGTTTTAATACATGTTATACAGATTTAAGAAGATCCTGACAGATGTTGCTGAAAACCTATTTGTCATCTCCTAGTTTTGATAACTATGCTTTAAAGTTTGACATCCTGTCGCTATCCAAAGTGGTTTAAATGAACCAATGTTGGCAGAGAAAATGCTGGAAATGGAATCTGATAAATCTGGTAGGGATATATTTTAGGTTTTTATTCATATTTCTTGAGTGAGTTTGCTGAGGGCTGAGTGTCACTCACTAGCACTGCAGTAAGGTCTTTGCACTATCACACAGTAAGCCCCATCAGTTTCACCTTTATGCCACTCCTACAATTAAGTTCACCAATAATGACTTGACTTTAAATGAAGGATGGCCTTTGTATTTTCCTCTTTTGGAGAATCAGGCTCAGACAGTTTTCTGCCTCAGACAGCATGGCTCTCGCACAAGCATTAAGGCAGCATTTTGCAATTGGGCTGCTGGCTGGCCTCTGTGTGTTCCTCCTGGATTCAGTACAGGGCGGAAAGCTCCTTGCAGTGCCAGTGGATGGGAGCCATTGGATCAGTATGAAACCAGTGCTAATTGAACTGGGGAAGAGAGGACACACAGTAGTGGTAGCTATTCCAGAAGTCAGTATGCAGATGGGGCCCTCCAGTCACTACACAACCAAGACCTTCCCTGTGCCCTACACCAAAGAGAAGATAAGAGAGATGAATCAGCTGCAAAGGAAGGTTTTTGAAGATGTTTCAACTCTGGGACAAATTAGGTTTATTTTGGGCTTTGTACATTTTTTTCAGAACTTCAGCAGATCAACATGTGAAAGTTTTTTTTATAACCAAGAATTAATGCAGGATCTGAAGGAGCAGGAGTTTGATGCCGTTTTGACAGACCCTGTACTTCCCTGCGGAGTAATTGTGGCTGAATATCTCTCTGTTCCCTCCATCTACATGTTAAGAGGGATTCCTTGTTCACTGGATTTCAGGGCCACTCAGTGCCCTCGACCTCCATCATTTGTTCCCACGTTTTTCACAAAGTTCAGTGACCAGATGACTTTTACGCAGCGGATCGTGAATTTCCTAATCAATCTCCTAGAACCGTTATTATGCAAATTTTTATTCTCTGCGTATGATGACATGGCTTCTTCTTTGCTCCAAAGAGACGTCACAGTGGAAGAAATCATGAGCCGTGCCTCAGTGTGGTTGATGAGGTTTGAATTTACTTTTGAATATCCAAGGCCACTGATGCCCAACATGGTCCTTATAGGAGGAATCAATTGTGCTCAGCGGAAAGCTCTGTCATTGGTAAGCTTAGCATTTTATTCGAAATGGTGACGGTGTGATGTTTGCTAGTCATTTCTTGATCACAGAAATTCTTCAGGATGCTTTTTGAAAGAATAGTCTTTATGTCCTATCAAAATTTGTTCATGCTTTCAAATTTCATTTGAGTGTTTTAATTTAGTTTTTTTTATGATGATGTTCTTCTCATAGGTAGGTGGCGCTGTTCATCTAAATTTACTTTCGCTCTTTATGTA